AGCTTTTTTCTAAAATTTAAGAATGCTTAAAACATGTAATAAATATCTTCTCCTCCTGCCCTACCTCAGCCTTCCAAGTGCTGGGATCGCAGGCATGTACTACCAGATCTGGCATAGGTTGTCTTTTTTTTTGTACTGGGAATCGAACTCAGGACCTCATACTTGCCAGGCAGGCGGTATATCCCCAGCCCAGCAAAGGCTTTCTTTCTTTCTTTTTTAAATTTTATTTTTCATTTTTTAAATTTATTTATTTATTTTTTGTGGAACCGGGGATTGAACTCAGGTCCTTACACTTGCCAGGGAAGCGCTTATTCCACCAAGCCATCTCCTCGGCCCTAGGCTTTCTTTAAAAGGATAGACAAAGAGCAAAAATGGGGAATAGAAACTAACATCACAGCAGGAAGTAAGCATTCAGTTATTCTATATCAATTCATTGAAAGTGATTCCTACATTGTTAGTTTTGCCTTTTTCCTTACAAATAAAGTGAAGCAAAGACTTACATTTAGTAATAAATTTACCTGTGAATTATTGGTCTCTACTAGTTCTTTAGTTCTAATTTGCAAAGAAAAGAAATAAAAAATTAAGATAGGTTTAATGATGCTTAACATTTTAAATTCTAAATTCAATCGACACAGTCATCAACTGACATTTACTCTGAACCCCTTGGGTGAAGGGCAGTGAACCAGAGGCCACAAGAAATTCTATCTTCTGCCTATGTGAGCAAACCAGCTCTGGCACCATTGCTCTCAGAAGCTACAGATAGTAAGATGTTAATATGTTGCAAAATTCCAGCGTTGGAATAAATTATCAATAAAAGAAGTTAAACATAAAAAAAAAAATTAAAGCTGGGTGTAGCCAAGTGTTACAGTGTTTGCTTGCCTAGCATGTGAGACCATGGGTTTAATCCTTAGTAACATGCACACACACACACACACACACACACACAAACATATATATATATATATATATATATATATACACACGCACACACAACGTGTGCACTCATGCATGCATGCAGGCACACACGTAGGCAGATAAAAAAGAAACTACTTGCTTTTTGTCTTGAATAAAGAAGTCACTGTCCTATGCAGAAAACAGTAAACATAGCTAGTTATTTATTCACATTTCACTAAATATCATTTTAGCATGAAAGAGTTGAACTTTAAATAATTATTAGAAGGAATAAGTAAAAATAAAGAAGTAAATTGATTGAAAGCCTACCAGGTAAAATTTTAAAAATAGTGACAGAATGCTGGGCAGGGTGGTGCATGACTTTAATTCCAGAACTTGGGAAGCTGAGACAGGAGCACAGGAGGATATCCATGAGTTCTAGGCCATCCTGGGCTACATAGTGAGTTCAAGGCCAGTCTGAACTATAAATGAGACCCTTTCTCAAAAAAAAAAAAAAAAAAAAAAAGTGAGAGGTTCCAGTGAAAATTTAAATACAAAGAAATCTTAATAAGATGTCAAGCATTTGTGAATAAAATCTATTTTTATCTGCCTTGTAAGGTTAATATCATATTTATGTTATGGCATAATTATACACTAAAAGTATTTAAGGATGGTCAGATTTTAAGTACTTAGTATTCCCCAGTCATTCCCCTGGCTTATTCCTCCTTACTCCAATTCTTTTCTCATTGGTAGGGTTCCTATTGCTGGCTACCCAGTCACTACCAGTCTCATGCCGTTTAAGGTAGCTCTGCTGCATATGTTTATTCTGCCTCTACAATTCAGTTTCTCTTTTAACCTGGTTTCCTAAATCAAGTTGACAAACCAGTTTATTTTCTTTTTCCTTTCAACAACTGATTTAGATTGGCTAAGAGGATATCAGGTATTCCCGGCACAACCCCTTACCCTTGGAATCTGTATTTAAGAGGGTTCCTCCTTTCCCGGCTGAACATGAAGTCAGGCAGAGTACCTTGGGAAGGACTCCAGCCCCCACAGTTCCCTCCGTGCGGTGCGCATGCCCTCTCTTCTTACAGTTGTCAAAGTGCTTTTGCCAGAGCGGTCACACAATCAACCTGAAAGAAGAAAATAAATACTGTACACTTTAAAATTTTACCTATCCTTAAAAACTGGACACTCAAAGGTAACTGCTACTCTGAATTTGCTATTTGAAGTTAAATTAATGCATGTACAAGACGATCTATTGTGTGTGTTGTGGGGGAGGGGAAGGAGGTGTCTATTTCTCAGACTTCGCTGTAAATAAGCAAAAACCCCAAATCAAACTAACTATGGAACAATTATTGAGAGATTTTGCATATTAACTCTGTGAATCTTGTCTTAATCCACTGCTTACCTTTTGTTTAAAGAGTCTTATTTCGTAAAGGTGGGTCTTGACCTTGACAGATTGAATTTATGCAGAAAGTAAAATTTGTATTTTTAAGAATTGTTGAGAAATGACAATTCCTAACATAACATTTTAAAAAATTCAAAGACTATATTAATATTAATTATAGTAATTATAGAATATTCTGAGTCCAGTTTACTTTTTGGCTTGTTATATAGTGCAGTGTTAATTTTTCCAAGAACATATAGTTTAAACTTGAAAGCACTGATACAAACTACTAGAAAAGGTGGGTGATACTAGAATTATAATCAAATGCATATTTCAGCCATGATGATATGGCTATTGTAAAGACAGTTCTAGCTCACTGGAAGCAATTCAAGTCCCTGAATTATAATGGTTTACTGCAGCACCATTTAATTCAAACCAACTATGAAAACATATTTTTCTCTGGCTGTCTTCCTTGGCAGTGACAGAACTTTGTGCTGTCTGAATCCAAGGTTCATTTACCTCATTGTATTGTATTTACAGTACTGATCAAAGCCTTTGTTTTAGGTCAAGTGAGCTCAGGAACATAAAATCAATATTAAGTAGGTTTTATTGGTAGAATCTGGCAACTTTTGATGCATAATATATTGGTTTGGGGCTTTTTTCCTGGGGGAATGGGAGAGGTTGATGTGTGAGAAGTAGAAAGAACAGTAAGGTGGTTGTAAAGCATTTTCTTGAGCCAGTATTTTGTGCATGAAACTTTGAAGTGAAAAATACCAATTAAGCATTTTAAATCTACTAAGATAGTAGAACTATTTTAAATCTCTGGCTGACATCCATTGTGTAGTAGTTCAAAGCAGTATCTCCATTTTATAATAGTTATTGTCAAAAGGTTATCAAAAGGCAGAGCTTTTATGTATATCTCATATTTCATTGCCTTTTTATAAATGTCTTTTTTTTTTTTTTGGAGACAGGGTCTCACCATGTAGTGTAGGCTGGCCTTGAACTCATTATGTAGCACCTGCTGGCCTCAAGTTCACTGCAATCCTCCTGCCTCAGCCTCACTGCTGGGATTATGGGCGTGCACCACCACACCCAGCATCACAAATGTCTTGAAAAAAATCCTCCAGAATGAGTTATTTAAGTAATTTATTGAATTTCAATTGTACTGAATCATCACATAATACTATTTTTGGTCATATGCTTCTTTAATATTTCAAAATGTTTGTTTTCAAGGTCTCAGTCCTGTAATGATATTCATATTTAAAACATGTTCTAAGCGACTGGCTAACTCAATAGCTACATGTATGGAAATCAGATGGTTTTGAGTGATTACTATTTTCATCTTTGAATGAGAACACAGGCTGTATGATAGAGGTGAATATAGCCCTTCTATGCGAAATGGAAAATACCATACACTCCTTATATGGATAAATGAAGCAGTGGTGGCAATGCACTATAATTACAATGTATAAGAATTTGGGACTTTGTACTCTATTTTTAACGCTTTTGTTAGCATATGGTAATTCAGGGTCCTCAAGCCAGTCTTTCCCTGCTAATACTAGTAATAAGAGAATTAATTCTAAATTTGCCAGTCTTGCAACCAAGGCAGCAGTAGGATTCAAAAATGAAAATCTAGCAACCCCAGTATTATCTTCACTGTCTACTTAAATCTCAGATGAATTTTAAAGCCCCGCCCCACTTCATCTCACAGTCTCCCTCCCTTACCTCTTCCTTCTCTCGCGCTCTCTCCCCTTCTCCCTCCCTCTCGCTGACCTCAAATCCAACCAGAAGCATTTCTCCACTCTGCGGAGAAATTCTCAGGCTCCTGTTGAGACATGAAGCCCTGATCAGGAAGCCAAAAAACCTCTTGTGCGGCAGAACTGAAGACAAGAAAATTGGAGAACAGAAAAAAAAAAAAAAAAAAACCATAATCCTTAGAGTAACAAGAAGCAAGCAGTTCCAAACCTTTCAGTAGGTTTTCTAAAAACGGTGTTTTGTTTTTTAAATGTCTCCTAACAAAATGGAGTAGCTGCCGCTACTGGGAGGCCAGAGAATGTGCAGCTGAGCCGTTCTAACAAATGCCAAGGATTTCCTCCCACGTGGTTCGCTGCAGCTAAATGAAACAATTATCAAGGCAAGAAGGCAGTTTGCTAATCAAGAAGGCGTTTTCTTTCTTTCTTTCTTTCTTTCTTTCTTTCTTTCTTTCTTTCTTTCTTCTTTCTTCTTTCTTTCTTTCTTTCTTTTGTAAGTGCTCAATCTGAAGGAGGGGAGAAGAAAGGGTCGTGTGCGGTGTCTTTTTAACCTTGCTGAAGGACGCAGCAGTATTTATTGACGTATGCAAATAACTGGGGGAGGGTGGTGCTTGGGAAAAAACAGGAACCAGAATCAGTTTCTCATTGCAGGGTGAAGGCTCTGAGTTCCGGTGAAGGGAAAAGAGACGTGGCGAAATTGCTGTCTTTAGGTCTTATAAGCACATCTCTCACTAATACAGAAAAGGAACCAAGACATCAGAAAGGGTGAAGACGCTCTCAGTATTTTCAGAGACCTTGCTTGAACCTCCCTCCCTAGCCCGACCTGTTCTAAATGGGGGATTATGGATTTGCATTGCAATTGGCTAGTAGTGGTGGCACTGGATTTTCGCAAGTGAAACATCTGCCTGCTTCCGAAAGGGGCATTAATGATCACATTGTCAATAACGCGTCTCTCTTTTTTTCCGTTTCAGCTGCGCAAACCATGCAGGATGATTTACTGATGGACAAAAGCAAAACCCAGCCCCAGCCCCAGCAGCAGCGGCAGCAGCAGCAGCAGCAGCAACCCCAGCAGCAGCAGCAGCAGCAGCAGCAGCAGCAGCAACAGCAGCAGCAGCAGCCGCCGCAGCCCCTGCCCCAGCCCGAGCCCAGCGCAGCCGAAGCCCCGTCCACGCCCCTCTCACCGGAGACCCCCAAGCCGGAGGACAGCAGCGCAGTGCCGGCCCTTAGCCCCGCCGCGGCCCCGCCAGCCTCCAACGGCCCGGACAAGATGCAGATGGAATCGCCACTCCTGCCGGGCTTGAGTTTCCATCAGCCCCCTCAGCAGCCGCCGCCGCAAGAGCCCACGGCGCCCGGCGCGTCGCTGTCGCCGTCCTTTGGCAGCACCTGGTCCACAGGCACCACAAACGCGGTGGAGGACAGCTTCTTCCAAGGGATCACCCCTGTCAACGGGACCATGCTCTTCCAGAACTTCCCGCACCATGTCAACCCAGTCTTCGGAGGCACCTTCTCCCCGCAGATTGGCCTGGCGCAGACCCAGCACCACCAGCAGCCGCCACCACCAGCGCCGCAACCCGCGCAGCCCGCGCAGCCCCCACAGGCGCAGCCCCCACAGCAGCGCAGGTCGCCTGCCAGCCCCAGCCAGGCGCCCTATGCGCAGAGGAGCGCCGCCGCCGCCTACGGCCACCAGCCCATCATGACCAGCAAGCCGTCCTCTTCTTCGGCCGCAGCAGCCGCCGCCGCCGCTGCAGCTGCCTCTTCGGCCTCGTCCAGCTGGAACACTCACCAAAGCGTGAATGCCGCCTGGAGCGCGCCGTCCAACCCGTGGGGCGGCCTGCAGGCGGGTCGGGACCCTCGCCGGGCGGTGGGCGTAGGCGTGGGCGTGGGGGTTCCCTCCCCACTTAACCCTATCTCGCCGCTGAAAAAGCCCTTCTCCAGCAATGTGATCGCGCCTCCCAAGTTCCCTCGTGCGGCCCCGCTCACCTCCAAGTCCTGGATGGAGGATAACGCTTTCCGGACCGATAATGGTAACAATCTGTTACCATTTCAGGTAATGCCTGGGTGCACCTGTACACGTCTTCCCCAAACCCGCTTTTGTCCCTTCTTCTCTGCCTATTAATCATCCCACCCGTATTTGCATTGTCCAGCTGCCCCAGAGCCTCCAGTTCACTGGGGCTCTTCCTCTCTAGGTGGATGAGTGGCCCGTGGGGAAAATAGTGTCTGTGTGCCCTGTCAAAGTAGAAAAGAGCTTTTTTCTTTTAGTTTATTTTTTCTTCACTGTGCTTGTGCTTCTCTTTTTGACCTTCCTTGACAAAGCTGCAAGTGTATGGCACTGTGCCGGCATAGTCCCAGGATGAGTTGGCTGAGATTCCTATCATTTTAAGTAGCTACACATTTTAGGTTATGCAATCCTAGGCTCAGGGTGCTGGTACCTAAAAGCTGTCCACACCCACACCCTGGCCTTACTCTTAAAGGGTTAACAGCCCTTTAGTGGTGCTATTTCAAGTAGTTGAATACGGTCCATTAAACTAATGTGAACCCATGTGTTTATGTCTCACTTAGGTGCTGAAATCATTAATAAAAATCAGCATGTTGTCCCTACCGGGAAAATTAGGGATTCCAGTAAACACCTAGAACTATAAGGGACACCAAAGTGGAAGAGTGGAAATTATAGATCTAGGAGCAGCCATTCCTATGTTACCTACAAGGATTTAGATTTTTTTTTTTTTCCAGAGGAAAGAAACAATAGGACACGACCTTCAGAGCCATATTGCAATGGAGTCTATTTGCTAGCTAGCACTGAAATATTTAAAGCTGCAGTGTCCTTCACCAGTTGGGTTATTTAAGAAGACAATGCAGATCAATTACACCATTTGAAACTGGGCAAAGTGAAAGTCTTGCAACTTTAATGAAAAATGAGTCTTGTGTCTTGGTATTAAATGCCAATGAAAAATCCAGGAAATGCCCCAGACAAAAAGACTGAATGGAGAGTGTCCTTGTTTCTGTTCCTGTTTTCTGTTCCCAAACACAACTAAGCAATTGGCAGTGTCCCGGACATCTTGAGTCAAAGAGTTGAGAATGTATGTATTCATTGGGGGTTTTTGCTCTCACTTAGGTAGGCTTCACTTAGAAACTGATTTGTCTTTAAGCATCTAGCTTCAGTTAAGAGAAAGAGAGAGGAGGGATCAGACTGACATGGAATTGTGTGGCCAAGAAAATGTAATAGAAATCCTTTGAGAAGTGCTGAAAAAAGATGGCACTTACAGTTTAACGGAGGTAAAGTGTCAGTCGCAGTTGGAGGCTTCATTTTGTTGCACATTACATTTCATATGTTTGGAGTAGGTCCCCTCCATGGAGGAAGAATGGAATTGAGAACAGGCAATGGCAAGGATTTTTGTCCTTGAGAATTCAAAGAAGTCCATAAGACTCTAAATTATAAAAGATTTATTATTATTTTTTAAAGACACGGCTTTGATGCTTATCCTTGACTTGCCTTGACCTTGCAATCTTCTTTCTTCAGCCTTTACTTATTTATTTTTGAGACAGGGTCTTGCCATGTCATTCAGACTGGCCTTAAGCTGTGTATGTAGATCAGTCTGTCTTCAAATTTGTGGTGATTCTTCTGCATCAGCCTCCTGAGTGCTGGGATTACAAGTGTATGCCACCACACCTTGTTTGCTTCAGTTTCTGAGTTCTGGGCATTATAGACATGTGCCACCATGTCATATAGTTTTAGGAGAGTTTTTAACAACTGAAGATCTTATACCAAATTTCACAGGGATCCTTCAGGAATAGAATATTTTAATATTCATTGAGGTGTATTTATTTCCATTATTCTAAAGTTGGTTTATTTCAGTAAAGCAAAGAGACACTGTAAGATAGGATTTTTTGTAGAGAAAAGAAGAATGTACTTGCTGAATTTTTTTGGCATTTTCTACTCTCTCTTTCTCTCTGTGTCTCTCAAGACAGGTCTTACTGTGTGGTTCATATTGGCCTTGAACTCAGTTTATGACCCAGGCTGACTGCACTCTAAAAATTCCTCCTGCCTCAGCCTCTCAATTGCTGGAATTACAGGCCTGTTGTACCATGCCTGGCTCTGGAGTGTGTCCTTTTAGAGTGATTAGGTCTGAGGAAGCTATATTTGGTAGGAGAGACTCTCTTATTCTGAGGCTTCCTTCCAAAATCCAGCCTTAACTGTAACCTGAATTCTTAGGGAAGTTTAGATTTGGTAAGCTCAGAGTATAGAAAGATGGAGTTATCTTTTTCCGGGAGTTGAATCTGAATACACATTTAAAAAAAATATTATTATGTATGTTTCTTGGGCTGGGCATGAAATAGCCCTGTCTCAGCCTAGTGAGTAGCTCGAACTACAGGTGAATATCCCTGTGCTTGGCTATTGAATATAATTAGTTTTAAATTAATTTCTCCTGACAAGGAGATTGGACATTAAACCTATATAGTTTTACCAAGCCTGATATTTATCAGTTGTGTGGGAATTGCCAGTAGCTTCTCAGCAAACCATTTACCAATGATATTAGCAAGAGCCAAATGCAATGGATCAAGCATTGTCTCTTGTCGTTTTGTTGTGGTAATGCTACTACTGAGTAGGCAAAAATGGTCACAGACTTGGAGGAGGGATTTGGAAAAAAATTGAGCATTGTTTATTTGGCCTCAGAAGTACATGTATGTCTCATTTTTGTTTATTAAAATGGAGCTTTTGGGTTTTGAAACAGTATTAGAACCTGAAGGGCCAGGTTATAAGGAGACAGACAGGAGGACAGCTTGAGCATAGGAATTTAGGACCAGCCTGAACAACATAGGCAGACCTCGTCTCTTAAAAGAATATAAAATAAAGCTGTATGTAGTGGTGCATGCCTCTAATCCCAACATTCTGGGAAGCTGAAGCAGGAGGATTGTAAATTCTAGTCCAGCCTGCGCAACTGAGTGATTTAACGGTACTGTCTCAAAACAAAAAATAAAATAGGGGTAGGAATGTGGCTCAGAGCAAAGGCTCTGAGTTTCATCCCCAGTACCTAGGGCTAGAGTTATGGTTCAGTGGTAGAACACATGCTTAGCATGCAGAATGCCTTAGGTGTATGCAGTTACCAGCATGTATGCATGCACACACATATGCACACAATCATTTTTCTAGAAAATGGAGAGAATATTTTATTTATGATTATTCTTTTGAAAATTATTTAGGCAAATAAGATTTATGTATATATATCAGATAATATATCATATATATATATCAGATATCTATAAAAGTATAGATATATCTTTAAATCCATGCCCCTCTAAAGTGGTTCTTCATTCTCTTTTGCCATTTCCTACCAACAATGGATTTGGACCTTTATTTGTGTGGTTTTTATTGTGGATACAATGTGTTAGTGTGACTTTTCAATGTACTCAGGCTTTCTTATTATAATAAAAGTAATTGGTTTTCCTGTGTCAGGGTGGCTGCTTGCTTAGGAATTCCTTCCATCTAAAGCTGCTTCATTTCTAAAAATAAGGATACTGATGTCTTGAGAGATTAGGTCCTAAAATTCTGGCTAGTTTTGTTGTGATGCATCATTAATTTCCCTGTACACTGGTATTGTCAGGGATGATTCATTTTATTTTTTTTTTATTTTTATTTTTTTAAATTTATTTATTTATTTATTTTACATTTATTTATTGTGTGTGTGTGTGTGGCCAGCTCAGCCCACCAGGGGGCGGGGCTGGCTGGCATGTGGTGCTGGGGGATTGAACCGCGGTCCCTGTGCTTTGCCAAGCTTGTTCCAAGTAGGTGCTTTAGACCACTGAGCCATCTCACCAGCTCCAGGGGTGATTCATTTTAAGTCAGGTTCTCTTTGGACTCCATACGAAGGACTTGTAATGAGACTGTTCGACAGTGTTCTCTGTCAGGCTGAGGCCTTTTGGTAAAGGACAGCAAGATGCTCCACTGGGAGAATTATACATATGCATGGTTCTGTATATGAGACAAACCTAATGATGTAAAAGGACCACAACAGAATTAGTATTGTTTTGAGGCAGGGTCTCACTATGTAGTCCACTCTTTCTTTGAACTTTCTATGTAGCCTAAACAAGGCCTCAAACTTGTGGTCCTCCTGCCTCAGTCTCGTGAGTGCTGGGATAACAGGGGTGAACTACCACACCTGGAAGAGATATTTTTTGTGTATGGTAAATTTGGATTTAAAAAGCATTGTTTTTCAAAGAAGGGACTTTTGAGAGCACCTATTTCAGACTTTTCTCATTTTACAGAATAGAAAGCCAAAGTCCCAGCATATTAAGCGACTTGTCCAAATCCAGGTAGGTAGTTTCTGTCAGACATAGGATTTTGTGGCAATATCCCTGGTTTCAAATCTAGACTCTGCCAATCATTGGCTTGCCATAATCTTGAGCAAATTATATGAAGATGCCAACATTCTTCTTCATTATAGAAAATTTTGTACTTGTTATCCATGTCTAGTTAAATGCCATTTAGTGCTAATTTTGCTACTGGATTATCATTAACAGAGGAAGAAAAAAAATTTTTTTTTTGGTATCAGGAATCAAACTCGGGACCTCCATACCCATGAAGAAAATTCTTAGATATATTTTTAAGAATATATATAATATTTGAAAAAAATACCTATTTATAATGTTTAGGGAACATTAGCATCTTTCAACTTGCTCATGCCCTTCCCCTTGACCTCTAATACTAGGGATTGAACCTAAGGCCTTGAAATGGAAGGCAAGTTCTTTGCCACTGTTACCTCTCCAGGCAGGGTTTATTGAGACAGAATATCTCTCAGTTGCCCAGGCTGGCCTTGAACTTGCATTTCTCCTTCCTCAACTTACTAGGATTGTAGATACGTGTCACCATATCTACCATAGGCTTGTTTTTTTAATAAAGATACCATGATGTGGATTTAAAATTGAAGACTCTTCTGTAGTTAATTTCTTAAGTACTCTATTGCTCTAATACAAAACCACTTAAGGTCTGACCACCCCACAAACAGAACAGGTTTCAGAACCTATCATGACATGACTGGATGTAAATGCTAG